GAATCTCATTACATTCGAAGATGTTTTTGTTCGTATAAGTTGGGCACTATGTACTTTTTTCATTCAAAAGATGAGCTGTAGATGAATAACATTTATACTTTGCTTGAATGATGACCTAGATATTTTGTATAAATTCATATTGAATATAGGATGAAGAAAATAACTTTCGTCTAATTTATACTTAGATTTTTATTTGTTACGACCGGTTTCGGTTTATTAAACCATTTTCAAGTAAATTCTGGTTCAATGGTTTAATAAGCCGGTCGTATCAAAAAATCTTAGTAGAAATTGAACAAAATGTATTTTCTTTATCCTATATACATTTATAATTATTACCTATGATACCGTTACTAGAAGAAAATTCTATACGCGATAATGTGATGCTTTTCATAGTATTCTACAATGCATTTTATACAACAGAGTAATTATATGTAAACAGGTATATTCTAAGAAAAAGAAATACAATATTAATTCTAGGCAGGTAAGTAAATTTTAAACGAAAACGATTTATTTTCGGAATTTGAATAATTAACTTCTTTTAACGGCTCAGTATATTAATAACTATAAATTTTATTCAAATTTATATAATTATTCAAAAATATATATTTTTATAAATCATAAACTGAAACATATTCAAAATGTTTGAAATATGTCTTTATGCTCAAAATACTATTTGTAGCAAAACTATTCTATAATATTGTAATCGTCGTTGAGAATACCTCATTCAAACACAAAATTGCCATATCTAATGGTCCTAAATTCATTTTACAATGTGTCCTTATGTAATAGTCAGTTGAATCTAATGAGCAAAATATTATATTAACAAGATATATAGTATACTATTAGGTATTGGTCCACCATCGTTATTCATAATACCATTATGTTTACTCATTTCTACACTCCCATAGGCATCAAGATGCCTGTTGTTATTAACACACTCGTCTAACTAATATTAATGAACTGAAGTCTATGAAATGGTTTTGTTGCAAAATATGATGGGCGACTGCTGATTTTTCAGGTCTTCCAAATTTAAAGTGTGAAGGAACATTTACCTTATATCTTATTTTGATAGATCTTTTTATCTGTCCATAATATTTTGCATCGCAGTACCTACATTTAATTTCGTAAATTCCAGACTTTTCAGAATTCTTGACTTTGTCTTTTGGACTTCCTTAAAGACTCAGTAGTGTATAACATGTTTTAGAAACCAGCTTCATATCTAGTTCCTTGTAAATATTTCCAAAGTTCTTTGTATATTGGTGAAATATACATAAATATCTTTTTTTTTGTCCTTTTTAAAAGTCGAGATTTCGTTCATTCTTAACCTAAACTCCCCCTTCCTTATTATGTCATCTACAATACCCCTCGAAAAACCGTTAGTGGCTGCTATTTCCTGTATTGTACGTTTTTCTTTTGTGAACCTCTCATGTGTCAGAGAAAAAGTCTAAAGACGTTGCACTAGAAAATTCAGCCCAGCACGTTTGTGCTGTCTGGAATTTACGAAATTAAATGTAAAGGCTGCGATGCAAAATATTATGGACAGACAAATCTATTAAAATAAGATATAAGGAAGACCTGAAAAATCAGCAGTCTCCCATCATATTTTGCAACAAAACCATTCCATTATGATTAGTAAGACAAGTTAACAACAACAGGCATCTAGATGCCTATAAGAGTGTAGAAATAAGTAAACATAATTATATTATAACGATGTTGGACCAATAGTCCACCTAATAACCTAATAGTCCTAATAGTATACCATATAGGTTGTTGAAATAATATTTCAATGATAAGATTTACTTGACTATTAGGGATCACACGTATTAGGAATCACACGTTAGAAGGTAAGACCTCGTTAATCCTTAGTTCGCACAAGTTTCGACGTCTGAGGGTTGTCGTTCGTAGAGGTGTGACAGCTGGTTAACGGAAAAACAGATTTATTTTTAGATATTGTAAAATTAATTTTACCTAGTAGATAAGGCAATATTGTATAAATTCAAGACACTTGAGACGCAGGTATCTAGAACAGGTATGGTATGAATAAGGATAGCTTTATAAGTATGATTACTTTGATCTTCCTCTTGAAGATGATCTCTTGGTGGTTGAAACACGTGTCGAGGTGTTTAAATAACGGTTTGGTGTTGGGAAAAAAATTCAGTAATATCCATTACCACACCAAAGGTTCCAAACAGTGCATTACATTTACTCGAATAGTTCACATATCGTCTCACCCATTTTTATAAATAGTTATATTTTTAGAAAGTAAATTCGATTACGTTTCTTTCATCATGTAGAAAACAGTGGTAAATATTGTAAGAGATAATAGTTTGAAATTGTGTACTTATTTAGGATTTCGACTGCATACGAAATAGAGCAAATCATTTCTTTGGTGATATTCATTGACAAAGAGTGGATGATTTAGAAACATCGCAAAATATATTATCAATTTTACAGAAACATTCATAGTCGAAAGGTTTCAGACGAGAGTAATGGGTGAAAATTCAATTTTAACTTCTATAGTCACCCTTTACAACAATTTTTGTTTGATAAAAAATACGATTATCAATGTTTTTAGCAAATTGCTATTTATGAAAGTTATGCAAAATCGTCACATATTTCAAAATATCGGTTTTTCATTAAATTGGGATGGCAATAATTTTTCATCTTTGAATTTTCATTCCACTCAGAAATCTGGTTGGTGTAGATACCTTCGATTTTGTGTAATTTTGAATCACATTTGATTAGGTATCTTCATAAATGATTTGTCAGTGTAATAGATAATTTTCAGAAATTTCATTAGTTTTCTCTGCAAACAAAGAATACATTTTATCCAGTGTTATGATAATGGATATTTTTCTCAGTTATGTTCTTAAAATTGTTTATGAATAGTTCCCCAATGTACCCATGAAAAAACAGAGGTCAAGAAATTTTGTGAAACGAGTGATACACTGGAAAAAGTAAAAAGTCTGTCTGTGCTTGAGGAAACGTGCTACACAATTACAGGTGTCCCAAAAAAGCAAAATGCTGATGATTTCAAAGCAATAGAATAATTCCCTACAAACTTCATTATAATCACACATTTCTGGTGGTGAAAAGAGTTTCCATAAACTTATACTGTTCTCAAATAAGTCCACTTTTCCGACTAGTGGATCTATGGCATTCCACCATATTCGTTCGTTAATCTTATGTTCAGAATCTCAACCCAATTTACTACATCTTAGCAAATATTTCTGATCACAAGGCATATAGTACGACAGTATAATGAAATGAATATTCTTATTTATATATGTTGAAATCATGTTGTTCTGATCATTTATTACAGCTGCCACTAGATAAAAGGGGTTATCTCAGCAAATATTTCTGATCACGAGGCCGTTTATCAAAGCGTGAAAGTTTCCTGTGACCGTTAATTTTCTAGGTTCAAGCTTGGTAGATAACTCAGTAAAATAAATCATAATAAGTTTCACAACATTGATTCAAATACTGATTGGGAGTCTGTGTGGTATATTTTGGACCCTTCTCGGTTTCAATAATATTCTGAATCATCTTTTCCTTTATAAAAAACAGTACAACCAAAAGGTATCAAAACCTCTTCTTTGAATCTAATGAGTCTTCGTATATCTCGGAAAGTTCACCGGAGGTATTTTCCCTCATGAATTTTACAATGAATATGGAAAAGTCTATAGAAGGTTTTCAAGGCAGCTAAAATTAATCATCATTATAGTAGGATATATAAAGTAATGATACCATGCAGAAAAATGGCATGAAAAAAATAGCATCAAGTCAACCTTATCAAATTTGGATCCTAAAAGGCTCAACGAATTCCATTACTTCATTCCAGAGATATCTATCGAAATAATTTGTAACCGCGCCAGATCCAATACTTTATCTTAAATATACTCATACTGCTGAGACTTATATCTTAAATGACACTTTTCAAATTGAACTCATCAATCAAATAAATCAAACACAAGGTTCACATGGCATTGCCAATATGCCATGAACATATTTGAGAAACTGCTTGTGTTTACTCTACAATTTCTGGTTGAACTGATAAATGAGTCTTTTGCTGAAGACACATTTCCAAATTTTTCCAGTGTTGAGAAAACTCAGAAAACGTGGTTAAAAATAGGTTTGTGGTTATTTTAGCCAAACATAACATTTTGAACAATCGGCAAATTATATTTCAATACAAGAAAAGTGCATCTGTTTTCTGAAGAATCAACTGATTTTTTGGAACACCGGTCTCAGTTCCGAAAATCATGTCAGTAATTTGAGTAGAAAACTATCTTCATGATGCATTGCTTTACGTATCATATCAAATAAACTATGTATAAGAACTACAAAAATAGTGTTATACCTTGTTTGAATTATATGATGCTGCCTGTCGCCTCCTGAAAATCTGTAATAAACATCTGATCAATTCTATTTTTATTCTATAAAAACGTGCCTTTCAAAAAACTGTCACTTTTTTCGAAATAGACCTAAAAGTTCATATCTGAAAAAATGAAGCAATATCTATCCTAATGAAAATTCTTTATATAAGTGTATGTCATGTACAGATGGTTTTTTCAGATGAAAACTTGCAAAAACCTATTACAGATACGTTCCTCGAAATGTACTGTATGTAATGTCAACTGAAATGTACTGGAATTACATTCCCTTTTTTCATTTATATAACAGAAACATATTTCAGTCTATTGAAGACTCTGAATGATCTAAGGAAGAACGTATTGATATAAAGAAACACTTGAATTCATTCTTTCAAATGTCAAACTACATCCAGATATTTCTGAAATTCTTCAGTATTAATTGGATTCGTTTGAATGATGATTCACTCATGAACTCCAAACATCAATCCAAACCATGGTCAGCGGAATCCAAATGAATATGTTTCCTCCTCTTCAATAATAAACTGCTCCAAAACTTCATTGGAGATAAAAAAATTATCCAAACCCTTATCAGTGAGTATAATTTGAAAAATTCAACGTATATTTCAGATTTTAATCCTTTGCGCTTCTTTGGCCTACGCCAGCGCTGGACTCCTCCCTGCCTACGCTCCTGCACCAGCCGTAGCTTACGCAGCCCCTGCTCTGGCTGCCGCCCCAATCTCATACACCGCTCCCGCTCTCACGTCGCAATCTTCCAACATCTACCGCAGCTTCGGTAACTTGGGACAAGTTTCCACCTACTCCAAAAGTATCGACACTCCATTCTCCAGTGTGAGAAAAGCCGACGTGAGGGTATCCAATCCTGGATTGCGAATTGCCACTGCTGCTGTCCCCTATGCTGCTGCCCCCTTAGCTGCCGCTCCCGTCGCACACGCACCTCTTCTTGGTGTCGCTTATTCTGCAGCCCCCGCTGTTTCTCACATGACCTACGTCTCTGGAATCACCAACTACGCTTTCTAAGCTATTGAATGGATTGTACAAAGTATAGTTATTTATTTATGACAATAAAGTTCTAAAATCACAATCAAATGTTTTCAATTCTTTTTCTTATTAAATGTGTATAGGTACAGCCCAATCCGGGCAACAAATTCTTAGGGCCAATCACTATGATTTTCATGTGGAACACATGGTACCTACATTCACCGGTAGATAGGAATTTCGATAAACACAGAAAACATTGAAAGTAAGCAAAGTTTCACATGATGCAGTTTAAAAATCTGCCCTACTGTTTCAGAGATGAAGACTGAACATAAAATTTGATTTTTTTAATTTCTCTTTGATAATTGAATAATAGATCTCCAAAATACGTTTGCACTTTGTCATCACAATATTCGATGGGCTGTAAGAATATGCATGAAAGATTGAATGTAGGCAAAGTTTCGCATATTTCAATTTTGAAAAATTTAGACTATCCCTTCTACTTTTCTGCAGCCTCCGCTGTATTTCACATGACTTACGTCTCTGGTATCACCAATTTGCTTTTTAAGCTATTGAATAGATTGAACTGAATTGAATTGAAGTGTATTTATTTATTCATGACAAAGTTTCAAAATGGCAATTTTATTTAATTTTTTATGTGGAACCTCTGGTTCCTGCATATGCCATGTGGGTGATAATAGATGCATGGGGATCTCGAGAATAGTAAAAGTTACAAAGAACGTTAAATATAAGCAAGGTTTAGTAATACTATTTTGAAAAAATCTTAGCCACCACTCCTTCTTTTATTGATAAGGTAGAAAACGCAATATTCCATTTTTTTTTCTATTTGTATCTGATTAATAGAATCTTCAAATCTATTTGTCTAATCGCAACTTTTACTGGACTGTGAAAATATACTGAAAGACAAATTTTGCAGAGAGCTGCCACAGGGTCAACTTGAACTTTATATTTTCAAATGTCGACCTGTATTTTACATCACGTTTTCAACGATGACAATATTTATTTAAGATATTGTCAAATTCCTTCAGGTTTTTAAATAACTTTGGAAATTTTTTTCATGCAAGAACATCATGAGTAATAAGAAGTTTTAATATAACATTTCAGGTCCGGTACTGTTTCGTCTATACATCACTGACATTGAGAAATTTAATGAAAATGCTAACTTTACGTTTCATGTAGGTAACACCACTGCATTGTCTAGAAATTTTCAAAATCCGTTTTTATGTTTTCTTGAACGAAGATACAGCCAATACAAGGCATGAAAACAACTTCTATATACCATTCAGGAAAAACATTTCTTATAAATCATGTCCCAGTGTGGGGCCAATGATATTCAATAAAATACCGTGTTGTATAGAAGAAATAGTTTCGGTCTCTGTTTATAAAAAAAACTTGGAAAAGCTTCGTGATGAGCCATTATTTTTATTATGTGAAGGAATACCTAGATATTCCTCTACATAAGTTAAATCGTTTTTAAAATCGTTTCATTTGCAGTTTTCAAGTATTATAACCTAAGTTTTCCATTTCTAGTTGTGTTAGTGTTTACAAATATGTTGACTGTCCCTATACAACTAGTTGTCAAAAAGGCTAATACAGTATCATTATTATTATTATTTTCAACCTAGGTTTGCGATGGTCATGCCCTATTCACCGAAGCCCCGATACATTCAGGAGGGCATGCCAGCAATATCAACCAACAATCACTCCCCACTTCTCGTTCTCCACAACGGTTATAATATCCCCTGGAGCGTAGGGCAACAAAGGTGTCTCGTCAATACTGTAAGAGTGCCGTACTTTTGGAATCGCGTTATGTCAATGGGTATAGGCCAATACCGCATATAGTTCGCATGTTGACAGTAAGTGCATTGGGGTTTAGGGCGCCTCGCGGCAGGCCCTGCACCCTGTGCCAGGAACCTCTATATCCATGACGCGGCTGCGGTAGACTAAGGAATTGGAGACACCATCCTGGCAGACCATCAGCAACCCCTCAGTTCCCGACTTCAGCCTACTTGATCTGAGGAAAGCGAAAGTCAGACACTTTGATAGGCCAATGTCTTCAATGTTGTTGAAGAAGATCCTGTGCATTGACTTATAATTATGAGCCTTTTGCTGAACGGGTTCTAGCTCGGTGACAGAGTTGTGATCACCTCGTTCAGTGACGGAAACTAAACTGAGTTCATCAGCTGCTCGGGCAGCTGCCCCAAAGAGGAATGCTTCAATTCCTGCTCTCTCATGGTCGCGGACCATTCAGAGGAGGGGATCCGAACTCCTGAAGACTTCACAGACTCCATCCAGTACCATTCTTTCATGTAGACACTCCAAACTCAAAGTTCACGATCTTCATGTTGTCGGGGACAACCGTGGCACGAACGATTTGAGATGCAAACTCCTATGGAGATGCATCATTTTTTGGGTCTTTACGTCGAGTTGATACAGCTTTCACTTCACTGCTCCAAAGGAGTAGAGCAAGATTGGAACAGAAGGCTTATTTGTTGCAGCAACTTTCTTATTCCCCAACAGTTCCGATGACCAGATCTGTCGGAGTTGCCGCAGAGATAGTTCTTCACTGCTGTTACCTCTTATGAGTGGCGTTGTTCCACCCCGAGGTGGGTACACATCTCTCCGGCGTCCAGAGTGTGTAGGAAGCTTCCATCTACGAGCTGTTCATCCTCTCTGTCCCCGCTTCATTCTCTTTTGAGATGATCCATTGCTCATTTTTCTATCCCGAATTTCATACCGATATCATGCGTGTACTCTTCCACCACCCTCAAGAACTGATGTAGATACTCCTTTCCAGAGGCATAAAGTTTAAGATGAATGGGTTACCTTATGCCTCCGGTTTCCAAGGGTGCCACAGTTATATCCTCGAGTAATTCTGAGCGCAACGAATAATGGCAATAGTGAGATGCAGAAGAGAAGGGGACTGAGGGAATCGCCCTGAAATACACCCCTTCTCAAAGTGACCCACCCTAATTGGACTCTGGCTTAACCAGATGTTATGGTGATGTGAGTCCGCCAGAGTGATATCAGTTGTTCAATTCACGTCACTATTTTGTCGGGTACCGCAAGGCAGTTGAGCAAACGCAAATTGAGCTCATGCGATGTTGTACGCTGTTGTACGCTTATACGCGTATATCCTTTCGAACACTCGGTTATCTGTGGTGAGTATTCGTGTGTATAAAATACTTGCAAACAACTTATAACACGAATTTGAGCATGTCATCGGTCTGTAATTTTTAGGAATCAACAAATCTTCGCTTTTGGAGATGAGAACGTTACGCCCCTTTACAAACTAATCCGGAATCGGCTGCTCTTCGTCCAGCCATGAGTTGAAAACTCTGGCCAGATGGCGGTGGGTGATTGGAAGTTTTTTCCACCAATAAGTATTCAGCACATTTGGGCATTTCATTATCATTATTATTAATATTATTTTTTTAGCGTAAGTTTCCACTGGTCCCTATCCCCGAAGTCCCGATACATTTGAAGGACGCGTTAGCATTATCAACCAACGACCACTCCCCACACCGTTGGGTGATTGATCATTGAGCGAGCGCAGAGATCCGAAAATAACGGCTTATATTTCTGCCTTGGTGCGGCAAACTGGTATGATTTTTGGATTCGAGATCAGAGAGGGCATCATTCCACCAAGGACTTCAATAATCAGAACAACCATCTTGACAGAGTGGTCTGGATGAAGTCTGCAGATTTTTATCCGATTCCCCTTCTCTTTTCGGACGATATTTGTCTTGCCAGCAGCTGAAAACTACACGACAAGTATTTTCTTGCTCTGGTGGTCGAGAAGGACTATATCGGGCTTACTAGCTTGTATGAGCCTGACTGTGGGTAACGTATAGTTCCAGTAAATTTGGCACTTCTCGTTACCCACAACAGATTCAATTACCCCGGAGCGTAGAGCAACAGCGGTTTCCATACTAGGACCAATTTCCTTTTTAATTTATGGTAACGATCTAATAACGTATCAATTGCCTCCGCTCTTCTTGGAGTCGCTTACTCTGCAGCCCCCGCTGTTTCTCACATGACCTACGTCTCTGCAATCACCAACTATCAAAGCGCCAGATCCTCACTTTCCTCAGGTCGAGTGGGCTGAAGTATCATTTAACGTATCTTCGTTATTTCCAATTGCCCCCGTACCAAAAGCAGTCGAATATGTGAATTGTCATACTTTCTATTTTTACTTAATATTGACTTCGTCAATATGATATTATCTACAGGCAATAACGCATATTTTTAATTGATTGATTGAACATGATTTTCTAGCAAAGTTGATGCTCAGCACATTTCGGAAAAAGAAAAGCATGATACGACTTCATTTTATATCTTGAAAGAATTTGATGCGAATAATCGAAGGTGATAGTTGGAGGTATACAAAATCAAAGATAGCCCCACCAAATGAAAATCAATATTTTAGAAAATCTGATGAATTGAACCACTTTTCTAATTGTGCTACGGATTTTGAAATGAGAATGTTTTATCTTGGAAAAAATTGAGTTTTCTACTCTTTATACGCCCTTTTGCGAAGAAAATTTCCATAAAAAATTGCATTTTCTGGAAATAATAAATTTTGGCCCCTTTCTTTCACCGGACTTCTGTGAACCATATAATTGAGCCCATCAAACGCTATGGAAATTTATTATTATCCATTGTTTCAAAAGTTTCGAAATATTTTTATAAAAACTCTGGGGTCAGTGACTAACAGCTATTGCATGGTTGGTTGTACCAACCATCATAACAATTTGATAAATCATACACACATTTCAGGTAATGATCCTTTGCGCTACTTTGGCCTACGCCAGCGCTGGACTCCTTCCTGCTTACGCTCCTTCACCAGCCGTATCTTACGCAGCCCCAGCTGTAGCTGCCGCCCGAATCTCATACACCGCTTCCGCTCTTACGTCGCAATCTTCCAACATCTACCGCAGTTTTGGCAATTTGGGACAAGTTTTCACTTACTCCAAAACCATCAACACCCCATTCTCCAGTGTGAGCAAAGCTGATGTTAGGGCGGTGTCCAATCCTGGTTTGCGAATTGCATCCGCTGCTGTTCCCTTAGCTTTCTAG